GATTATGATGAACCAATTACCTAAGTTATACTAATACTTAAAAAACTTATTACTTACAATCAACGAAGAGACAGTTGGAATGACTTCACTCTCGGTGTGTAACTGATGAACATGTGAAATTTAAACACTGTAGGTACAGTGTACAACACTAAAAATATAAACAAAAATATGGCAGTCGTCTATTGCCATCACGGTAATACAGGATAACACAGATTATTAAGGGTATTTCCAGTAATTATTTCAATATAGTGAATATTGATGCTAAATATAGTACAAAATCATAATATATAGTTATCAATTCTTAAGTATGTAGTTCGTTCAACTGAACAAACGTTTAAAATAAATATTACTGATGTTAATTTAACACCACTGAATCCTAAAATAAAACGCCTATTGTTGACATCAATTCAATTATCGTGGTTGAAATAAATACAATGGTATTAATAATATTAACAAATGGTTTTGCTCTCAATATTCAACTAGTTAAATGTCTTAACAACACGTCATATAATGTACAAATTGAATTTTTATTATTTATTTATTTTAACAGTTAGTTAGTGCAGTTTTAAATTATATAAAAGTTATTTAAACTATATAAAGTTTTACCGTTGTAGTTTAATGCTGTTACATTATACCATTACACTGTTCACTCAGACCCACTATTTAATCATCACAACTCATGTAGTGTAAATTAAATTAATGTAGCATATATAATTTAGATTCACAGAAAGTTGTTGTTAACATGACACCTATTAATGTTTAAATGACATAAACAAATATTAATATCATTACTTCAAGATATTTGTTATGAATTCTGATTATTGTCGCGATAAATGTTTTTGGATTAACACTTTTAGAGAGTTATTTTGAACTCCTTGGCCACTGACTCCAACTATCAGCCCGTCGACACTGTAATTTTGGTAATTATAACACCAACATTTCTATGTGTGTATCCATTAAAAAATGAAAACTTATATTTTCAATGAATCAAAACGTACAAATTTAAATTTTTATAAATTCTGCATTGAAATAAAACTATGTGTAATATTGCATAGTGTTTAGCAAAATAATGATAGGAAATTCTTACAAACAGTTTAAAAACATAAAATATTAAAATTTTAACATAATAAATAAAAATGTAAATTTGAATATTTTAAGTTTTTCGACAAATTGGAGTCGATCTGATGACACTTCCTGAAGTTGATGGTTATAAGTACGTTGTAGTGGCTATCGACTATTTTTCAAAATGGTCCGAAGCTAGGCCGTTATATGATAAAACTGCAGTTTCGGTAGCAAGATTTTTGTATGACGATATAATTTGTCGACACGGGTGTCCAAAGATTCAAATAAACGATCAAGGACGATAATTTTTGAATTCCTTAAATGATGAGCTCTCTCGCCTAACAGGAACTCAACAAAGAGTGATATCAGCATACCATCCCCAGGCAAATGGCTTAGTTGAACGGCAAAATCGAACAATTAAAAAATGGTTTACTCAAAGTGTTGCAAAATAATGTAAATAAATGGCCTTCTATTTTACAGGGAGTTTTATTTGCTCACCGAACTGCGGAGACTGTGTCATAGTAATTAATATACATTATTAAATTAATATAGTCTTTGTTTCCCGACAATAATGATGATGAAAATTCGAATTTGCAAGATGTCTCAACATCATTTGGTCATACACTTACCGATGTTTATTCATCACCCAATACGTCAGTAATAACAAGTGTCCCACCATCTACATATACTTGCTCTGTATCAAACGATACTACAAACAGTACAAACCGTTACTCACCGTATAATATAACATCAAACAGTGCAGTTTCTACAAGATCTAATGATCACCCCAAATATGGTTCATATCTTCCCATGGATTGGACGACTGAGGTAAAATTATATTCATTAACTTAATTTTCTTATACTGAAATAAGTATTTTTTTTATTACAGACAATACTACAACTACTCCATACTAGTAATGATGGGCGATATGTTTTAGCTGATTCATCTACAAATAAAGGTCGTTTGTCTGACGATGGGCAAAATGCACTTACAAAGTTATTGATTAACTTCTTATTTCAAGACAAATGCAAGTATGTACCTACAATATATTTTGTTATATAATATTATAATAGTAAGACTAATGGTCAATACTCCTTGCATAAATTATATCACATTTTGACATTGCTATTAAATTAATAATATATAAAATGTTTTTCTTAATTTAAATTAAGTAGATATACAATTATAAAAAATACTTTTATTACCCATACAGTTATATTAGAATAGAAAGAAATGTATAGTATAACATACTATACAATCAGGTCAATAATATAAAATAAAATAAGTATACAATAATTATACCATAATACAATACAATAATAACATTATTTAGTATAATAATTTATAGGTGTTTTTATTTTGTATACTTCAACAAATAGAAGTTGTATTTTCTATATAGTTACTTGTCTTAACATACATACATAATAAATATATAATACATATATTTATATTTATATCAGTTAAACCTTTCTATACCAAATATAATATATTAAATATTGGACACTTCTTTGTTGTAATAAAATATTATAATTATTGTTTTAAATACTTATCTTTTATTACAGAGGTACTGATTTATATTTCAAGAAAATTGCTAAACTTATTGTAGAAATATTTCCTTTAGAGAAAGAGGTTTGTTAGTGCAGTATTTGTTTTTGTTTTCTCTCTTTGATTTTCCTTTACTATTTTTCTAGAGAGTTTATTTCATAGCTGCTAAAACTGAAGGTAACCATCAAACCCATGCCAAAGGCAAACTAGTTGATTGCTGGAGAAATGTAGCTAGACGCCTTCGTGTTGGTGCAATTGAATTTGATAGAAAAAAAAGTGTTGTTCCATTACAAAAACCTGTATTTTCTGGTATTTATATTTTATAAATTATATAAAAATAAAAATAATATTATAAATTTTAATTGTTACCTAATAACTATAATATATATATTAATACAATAATACCTATGTTTAAGATGATCTAACATTGGCTAAATTATGGCTTCAAGATGAAGGACTATCAGCAGATTTTAAATCTGTAAAAGAAAAGTGGAATTTAACATATGATTTGAGGAGATCAGAAATACTTAATTCAGATACCAAACTTACTTTGTTTGATATATTTAAAAGTTGGCCTATTCTTAAATGCCCAAGAGGATATGAATTGGTTAGTACTTATATTTGATTTTTTTTTATAAATTTATTGATTCTTATTTTTCCTATAACTTGAAGACTGCTTTATGCATTTCAAGAAAGGCAACCTTAATTGTTTTAGGCGTATAATTATTTTGACACAACAATTTTTAACGAGTTCATATAAATTTACATTTTTAGTTAGATAGGTAATATTATGTAAAAAATAAATTATCAGAAACAGTGTATAATGATTTATTGGGTCCTAGTGTTAAAAAAATCAATTCAATTGTTATATTTTGTATATTATGAATTAACATAGGCGTTCGCAGGCCTTTTTTCAGGGTATATAGAAAGCTGCCCCTGGCAACCCTGAAAGTTATTTTAACTTTTATGCATGTAAAATTCTGGTGAAAAAAAATACACAAATAGCAAAATGTCTGACTAAAACTAACTATGTTTAATTAAATAGGTATATAATTTGTAAATAAATTTCAGATTGAATTAAAAATTCAAAATTAATAAAACAAAAATGGTTTGAGTAATACATAGAATTGACACGGTAAACTGGTTGTGGTAGAGGAAAAGCCCAAGGTGACACGAACAACAGAACAGCACACTAGTATATTGTATTAAGTACTCTTATTATACGTCAAAACTATTTATTAACATGCGGTGATAACTCGCGGTAACGCGTACGGAACAAGACAGTCCGCCCGGCCGGCGGCGAGGTCGGGTGTCGTTGCCGACGTCCGAGTCCCCTCCACCTGCCGTCCGACTTTAGCGCGTCGTCTACCTACTCAAAGGCCGTCGTCGTCGCTGTCCGGCAGTCTCGACAGTATGTCCACATCCGGGAGCTCCTGTGGGCCTACCCGGAGTTGGAGGAACTTGGAGTCCAAGTTGATTAAGTCGGCTACCTTTGGGTCGTCACGCGGCGTTCCGCCCTGCTTGAGGTCGGCCTTCGTTCTCACGACCCTGGTGTTGCCGGTGTCGACAGTCGGCGTCTTCCTCGCCGGTCGTCGGGGTTCTGCCTGTGCTGCTGGTGGAGGTCTCACCACTCCCCGGTCCAGAGCGATCTGGATCAGTGGATGTTGCAGCAGGTCTTGATGGGTTGCCCCTACGGCCCACCTGGCCAGCGCCCGTCCGTCGTCAGGTCTCACCTCTGGACTCATCTCGGTTGGGGTCTCCCATGTCGGCGTGGCCGCCGATGGCGTTTGGGTACCCTTTTCCACCCTTGGTTGGTTCTTCCCGTACCGTCGCCACACGGCCATCAGGTTTTCCCATGTAGGTATGCCCGATGACCGCCCAGCGAGCCGGAGCGCATTCAGCAGGTTTAGGGACGCCTGGTCCAGGATCAACTGTACCACATCAGATACGGTCCCCCTGTGGGGACGGTAGTCGCCCATCGACAGATTAAAATCTCCGTTGCTGTTGGAAGGCGTCGTTGTCGGCTGGTTACGTGAGGACATCTTGGTTTTCCTGCTATAAATACAAAACATGTTACATGGAAAACGTATTGGTTATGGTGGATAATTCCCCGATTGTCACATCGTTGGTTTTCCCATCTCGTGTGTGTTGTTCGTATGTAGGTTTTTCCCCGTGGTGTTCGTTAGGGGGAAAAACCCGGAATGTTTTCGATGTGGTTTTCCCCGGACTTAACCCTAGGACTGGTTCTGGGTTTGGCCCGGCCCGAATGTCTGTGTGTTCGGGCGTGTCGTGCTGATGATAAGCTAGGTGTTTAATGTTGTTCTAGATGATTTACTTAACGGCTTAAATGATCGCTTTAATCAAGAAACTTTAAATCTTATCCTTGCCGTATTAAATGTTTTAAAGCTTGAACCAACTAAAGAAAATCTTCTGTGCTTAGAAAATGCTTTTGAAGTTGACTGTAACGATTTAAATCGGGAAATTCAACTTCTACGAAATATACCTGTTGTTCCATTAGGTTCCACTACAAAAACTATATTCCATTGGATTGAATTTCTTAATCAAAATAACCAAAAAAATATTTTTTTGAAATTTCACAAAGTTATTGTACTTTTTAGCACAATACCTGTTACTAGTTGCTCTTGTGAGAGGGCATTTTCGAAATTAACAATGGTCAAATCGAAACTTCGAAGTACTATGACTCAACAAAGATTGGATTCATTAATGTTTTTATTTATTGAACAGCAAATGACAAATAATATAAACTATGACGACGTAATTGAAGAATTTAAAGTCATGACACCATCAAAACGTCGTCTCGAGTTAAAATTATAAGTAAATTTAATTTTTATAAAGTTTAAAAAAAAATGTAATAACTATAGTACCTACTAAAATGTTTTCTCAAAAAAATAAATATTTAGAATAAAATGTTTTTTAATGTTTTGTTATGAAATTTTTCTTGGCCATACCTGCGAACGAATCCTAGACACGCCTATGCATAACTATCATTACTGGAACAGTGGAATGGACCAAATAAATAGCCCTCAATGTATGTACCTACTTCAATAATCAACTAATTGGACCATATCTTATGAAACTACCTATGACATTAAAATACAATTTAATTATTATTAATAATATGTACCTATATTGTATTAGATTATTTTATATTATTAATAAATTAATCTATACCTACTTACATTTTGAAGATAATTTTTTTTTGACGTTAGTTTACATTAGTGATGACAAATCACTCTTGGTTTAATAATTACCTAACTAATTTTATTTTATTATAGCACTTTATCTAGGTACTTGGTATTCTTTATAATTTTCATGAGATTTTGTTGAAAAACATTCTCTTCAAGTTCAGGCAAATTGTGAATTATACAACATTAACACCGTTAAACATTAATGTATACACACTCAACAGTTTCATTAAAATTGCTTGGCGTACAATGCATTAAAAAGGTTTCATGTTCTCTCGAATTGTCCATAAGGTTTTTTTTTAGGATTACTTGAATAGGTAACAATAATTACATATTATATAATTTACTTGCTGGATAAATAATTGTCATAATTACAGTGATAATTGAAGTCCAGCACATATGGTGGTGGTCACTGGTCAGTAATTGTTGAACAATGTTACTTTGTATACTCTTAATTGACATAGATACCTATTACGCATAACTTATAACAAAAACCAAACATTTTTTTGACAAACATTAAAAAAAGAATAACGTACAATATGGTACGAATGTACAATATACTACATGCGTAAATGCGTTATGTGCAAAACTCGATCAGATGATTGGTGTCTATGATCTGAAGTACGAACCTCCGAAAAAAATTAAAACGTTTACTCGCACCAACTTGATGTTAGACCCCAGGTTATCCGTATTATGAAAACGAATACCAGATAACCGATAATCGCTTTTGATAAAACCACAGATTAAAAGTTAGTTATCTCCGGTTCTTTTGACTGGTTTTTACTGTTGGGTTTAATAAATTGTACAGTAGCAGTAAATTGAACGAATATTTAAACGCAAATAAGTCGCTAACGGAATACTCAAATTAAATACTGTAAACGTTAAATCAATTTTTTTTCAATCATCAAATCTCTTCTCTATACTATAAAGCAAGAAACCAAGGGCGCCCCCTATGCGTTAAATCCGAACCATCGTAAGAGAGAGCCAATGAGAAAATTCAATTTCCCCCGGAGGGCGGTCTCCCGGCGGCGGCGGAGCCGTCGCTGCGTAATCAGCCTTTCTTATCACTGTTTCGAGATTTTTTCGATTTTTTCGAAATTTTTCGAAATTTATCGAGTTTTACCCCCTCGGGGGGCCCGGGGTCTCCCTGCTGTGACCTTATTCGCGTTCCCCGCTAGATTTACAGGCCGCGCGCGGCCGTATTTTCTTCCCGGCGGGCCCGCGGCGGCCGATCTCGCGCGCGATACGAGCGTCGCCGTCGAGCGCGTTTTTCGCCGTGTTTTTCGAAATATCGAGTTTTATCCCCCTCGGGGGCCCCGGGCGTCCCCGTTTGCGTTATATTCGCGCTCCTCGCTATATTTGTAGCCGGCGCGCTATCCTACTTTTTCAAAAATGAGTCCCCTCATCCGACTAGACAGTCGCCGACGCCGCGGCGTCGTCACGATTTCGACGGTTTTTCCGACTTTTTCCAACAGAGTCGCGTTTCGCTTCGTTTGTAGACTTTTCACCTCCCCGCCGAAGACGTATTCGAGTTCCCCGCTAAATTTATAGCCGGCCCGCAGTCCTACTTTTTCAAAAACGAGTCCCGGGGAGGAGCGGCGACGCGCAAACGTGAGTAGGTACCGAGTGGGTACATTTTGGGTATCGCTATATACAGGCATAAATACATGCGTCTCGACGATCGATTTTTTTCGCGAATCTCACAGAATCGAACTTCCGAAGCCGGTCGTCCCCTTACCGACGCGTTCGACCCCCCCGCTCGGACGCCATTTGACGGACGTGGACGCCGCTTTCCAGTTTCGGGTGCACGGCGACGCGGCTTAATAGTCATAGATTTGACACGATATTTCATCTGAGTAGGTAGTCGATAGGTTAGGGCGCTAGGTCATGTAACTTGGAGTCGTGGGTTCGATACCGTCCCCCGGCGATATCGAAGATTTGCGGCGGCCGTGATAATCTTGAGTTTTTTTTTCGCGTTTTTTTTTTTCGTCTTTTCTCCATCAGTTCCGTATTATCATATTTAAATAGTCCCCCCTCATAGTCGGGGTACTTTTGACCCCCCCCCATCAAATTTTTTTTGGCCGAGCATAACTTAGCCGGGGATCGTCGTAGCCGTATTATGTAAACGGCTATGGGTTGTGGGTGGCCACGTGCATACCATATCAAAAATTATACCCCCCCCCCCCCCCTCCTTTTTTTGATTTAAGTATATCACTGTCACGTTTCGACTTGGGTCCCCCGTTTTACCACCAAAATTTACGTTTCAAGACCCTCTAAATAGTCCCCCCATAGTCGGGGTACTTTTGACCCCCTCTCAAAATTTTCGGTGACAGTTATGAACGCCGTCCGCGATTCGACGCGATAATAATAACTAACTTACATGTATGCTTTGTCGTAGGTACCTATTAAATATATCACA